TTCCTTTCCTTTCCTTTCCTTTCCTTTCCTTTCCTTTCCCTTCCTTTCCTTTCCTTCTTTCTTCCTTCCTTTCTTTCTTTCTTTCTTTCTTTCTTTCTTTCTTTCTTTCTTTCTTTCTTTCTTTCTTTCTTTTCAATACTGAGGTGAAATTCACATAAATAAAGTGAATCATTGGAAAGAGAGTAATTCAGTGGCATTCAATATCCTTATAAGGTCTGCAACCACTACTTCTATCTAATTTCGATACCTTTTCATCTCCCACATAGGAATCCCCATATTCTTAAGCAGTTGTTCCCCATTTTCCCTGCTCCTGGCTTCTGATAAGTCCCCATCTGCACTCTGATTTGCTGTTTCTGGACATTTCATATCAATGGAGTCATATGATGTTTTGTGCCTGGCTTCTTTTGCTGAGCATAATGTCTTCTAGGTTCATTCACACGGTGTGCATGACAGCATGCATCAGTACTTCATTCCTTTTGATAAATGAATAATATTCCATTGTATGGCTATCCCATGATTTCTTTTTTTTTTTTTTTGGAGAGATTTTCACTGTAGGGCGCGTGCGCTCGCCAGACAGACAGAGAGAGACATAGAGACAGAAAGCGAGAAATCACCCCCCAGGGGGGATGGTCACGCCGCAATCCCTTCTCCTCCATTCTCCTCTCGGGATCTTGGGCACGCACGCACACGCGCCCGGCGTGAGATTTAAGCCACCGGGTCCGGGACACGAACCGCGGTCGACTACGTGGGAGTCCAGCGACATAGCCATTACGCTAACTGCTGGTTCCCTATCCCATGATTTCTTTATCTATCCGTCAATGGGCATTGAGACTGTTTCCAGTTCTTGGCTATAGTGAATAGCGTTGCTATGAAAGTGGGCGAACATGTACTTACTTGAGTCCCTGTTTTCATGCATGCTCCAAATTCGAACAGGATGGAAGAAAGGAGAAGGGATTGTGGTGTGCCCACATCCCATGGTGGATACTTTCTCCCTCTCTCTTATCACTTTCTGTTTCTGTCTCTCTCTGGTGAGAGTACATACCCTCTGGCAATCAGAAAATGCAGATCAAATCATAACACACCTACCTTTTTGTATTAGGAGAACGGATTGTGGTATGATCATTTCCCACGGGGGTCACTTTCTCACTTTCTTTCTCTTTCGTCTCTCTCTGGTAAGTGCATGTGCCTTCTGGCAAATTAAAAAGAGAGAGAGAGAATATTTATTGGGTGACTCAGTCCACATGCTTATGACAGCTGAAGTCTCACAATAGACCATCTGCTAGCTGGGCATGCTGGGATGCTGGTAGTGTGGTATAGTCCAAGACCAAAGACCTTGGAGACAGGGAAGCTCATGGTATAACTCACTGTCCAAGGAAGTAATCCTGAGAACCCAAGAGGCTGCCAGTGTAAATCCTGGAGTCCAAACTCAAGTCCTAATGTCCAAGGCAACGGAAGTCTCTCCTGCTCTGTCTCAAAAGAGACCTATTTTTCTCCCACATTTATTCTTTCTGGGCCTCTTGTTGACTGAATGATGCTCACCTATATTGAGGGTGGGTCTTCACATGGAGCCCATTGCATGTCAATCTCTTCTGGAAACCTCTCCACAGACATATTCAGAGTAATGCTACAGACTTCTAGGGATTCCTTAGTTCAGTCACTTTGACACCAAAAGCTAATCATTGGGACCAGCAGTTGGTATAATGGCTATGTCACTGGACTCTCATGTAGTCGGCGGTGGTTCGAGTCCCAGACCTGGTGGCTTAAAACTCACACTGGGCGCATGTGCATGTGTGCCCAAGATCCTGAGAGGAAAATGGAGGAGAAGGAATTTTGGCATGGCTATCACTCCGGGGGATTGATTTCTCATTTTCTGTGTCTCTGTCTCTCTGGTGAGCACACATGCCCTATTGCAAAAACCACTCCCCAAAATAAAAAAGCTAATCTTTACACTTTTCCACTGCTTTTAGAATAAGTAGCATCTTCAATATTGGCTGTGCAGCTGGGCCACTGTCTTCTTCTCTCTGGCCACACTGGTCCCAAGTTTTACCAGACTATTCTGTGGCCTCCAACCTCAGGGTTCTGGATATTTCCTCTGCTGTTCCTCGGCTCGGAGTACCAGCTATCGCGTTGCCTTGCACACTCCTCGCTCTTTCAGTTCTCCACCACTAGCCTCCCTATGAGCCTTCCTGACTCCAAGGCGAAATCAGTTTTTCTCCTAACACCACCAGGACCTCCTCATCTCGTTTGTGTAGTTATTGATGGGCTTTAGGACACAACACTCCAAACTAGGATTACAGGAGACCAGATTAAGTCACTAGAATTGACATACTGATTATTTGCAGAAAATGCCCAGGAGCTCTAAGAGTTGCCCATGTGTAAGAGAAACGTACAACTGTAAAGGAAATCTCTGTTTGTAAGCCTGTCTCTTTCTCCCTACCAGGAAGAGAAGGGGGACTAAATCAGTAGAAATTGTTATGAAGGGAGAACCAACAACGTAAAACTGTGCAACAAACCTTCCCCTTGTTTCCCCTGGCCATCTTGTCTTAACTAGGTCTTTCCATTCACCCATCCATAATTTGCCCCACCACCTCTCATCAGCCCCAAAGCCTTGCTACTTTCTGAAGCTCAGGAGGATATATAAGCTGCAGTCATCTGGCTGTGTCTTTGAGTGTCATATTTTCTGTGGGACTCCCACACGTACATACTTAATTAAATTGTTTTTTTCTTGTTAACCTGTCTTATGTCAATTTAATTATAGACCAGTCAGCTAAAGAACCTAGAAGATTAGAAGGAAGCATTGTTTTTCCTCCCCTAGATTATTAATTCATGTCTGCCTCTCCCCTGCACTGTAAAGTTTTGGAGACGGGGCAATACCAGTTCGTTCTCTTTTCTACAGGGATTTTTTTTTTTTTTGAGAGATTTTCATTGTAGGGCGCGTGCGCTCGCCAAACAGACAAAGAGAGACATAGAGACAGAAAGCGAGAAATCACCCCCCAGGGGGGATGGCCACGCCGCAATCCCTTCTCCTCCATTCTCCTCTCGGGATCTTGGGCACGCACGCACACGCGCCCGGCGTGAGTTTTAAGCCACCGGGTCCGGGATCGAACCGCAGTCGACTATGTGGGAGTCCAGCGACATAGCCATTACGCTAACTGCTAGTTCCCAGGGATTTTTTTTTAAAGAGGTTTTGCTATAGGGCATGTGCACTCGCCAGACAGAGCATACAGAGAGACAGAAAGTGAGAAATCACCCCCCAGGGGGATGGCCATGCCGCAATCCCTTCTCCTCCATTCTCTTCTTGGGAACTTGGGCACGCATGCACACGCGTCTGGCGTGAGTTTTTTAAGCCACCAGATCCAGGACACGAACCGTGGTTGACTACGTGGGAGTCCAGCGACATAGCCATTATGCTAACTGCTGGTCCCCTCTGCAGGGTTTTGACTTACAAAGTGACTGCAGCAGGGTGAGTACTCACTGGAGAGTTGTTACATCAATTAAATCATGAAAGGGAAATGGTGGCACTGTAATTCAAAACAGCTTTCATACCCTTCCTTTCCTACTCTATCCACCCCCCCTTCCTAGTACACGAATGTCCTTGAAAATAATCAAGCTTGGAAAGAAACAAAAATAAAAAGGAAAACCAGTTGGCCGAGTCTCAAAATTCTGTCATGGCCGATTGCTCTTCACACCCACCTCTCAGTGGGAAACCAGCTTCTGTGGTAGAAGGAGAGGCTCCCCACACTGGAGCTAGAAAGACTGAAGAACTCGGTTCACCTCTCATCACTAGCACAGGAAAAGGTCGTCGCCGATTTCCACATAGCTTTAAACTACTCGTAACTCGTATAGAAGGGCTTTCTCCCTTTACTTTTGTACGTGTTCTTCGTTTTAATTTTATTTCAGCAAGATTGAAAGGTCACCTCAAACCCTTTGTGGAATAATGGCAATTGAGTAACTAAGTGAATAAATGACTTGAATGAATATAGAGGAAAACGAGGATGGAAGGTGGGCAAGTGGAACAGAGCAGAATTTGACCTCAGTCCCTTAGAGATGATGCCGACGACCATTTCTCTACAGAGCTGGGCTACACACACAGAATCCAGCTTTCAAGAAGCATTTCTTGACCCCGTAAGTCACTTCCAGAGGGCTCAAAAATGATATAAGTGATCTAATCCATTGTAAGGTGTGACAGCCCACACTGTGAGGTACTGAAATACTTTAGGACAAGTAAAAGCTTCTTCCCTCTGCGGACACAGGAAAAGGGGAGGAGCAATGTGCTACACAACAGGAAACACCTACCCAGGATGATTTCGAAGTAGAAATCATGCAGGTTTTAAGTTGCATGAGAACCAGCCCTGCCAGATCAACTTGAACAGGCCTGGTATCATTCATTTCTCCTTTGGGGCAAGTTGAAGCTCTCCCAGCCCTGTTTAAGAGGTGTTAACAGTGGGGAATACCACCAGATGTCTGACACCACACCAACTCAGGAAGTAAGAGTCTGAGTGAGTCCCCCCTCCCGCAGGCCACAGCAAGTGGCTGAGAACTCACCCAAGGACAGATCCCTTGGTAGGTCATCGCCAAGAAGGTCCTTGCCTTCTCTGTAGGCAGGCAGGCAGGAGGTGGCAGCTAGTCCTGCTGCATGATTTTGTTGTTCTCTCGCTGCAGTGACCAGACTTGCTTCTACGGGCAGCTGTCAGCATTTCCCCAGTGAGCACCCACACGTAGGATGTGAGTGGCGTATGCATATGTATCTTTTTCCTTCCGGTTGCTGTGAAGTGATGTTGTCTCAGTTCATTTCCTCTCTGCACCTCTTCCTTTTTTTCTCTGCAGACCTTCTGTTACACGGAGGATGCTTTGCAGCTTGGGGACAGGCAAAAAAAATCTAGTTCTAATCTGGTCCGCTGCCTATTTTTAGAAAGATGGGTGATCTTTAAATTAGTATTGCAATGAAATTCTGTAGTATGTGTTTTTCTAAGTGTCATGAGCTCCTTTCTAGACTGCCCTGAAGCAAAAAAAATGAGGCTGTTGCAAAGCCAACTGAACTGGAATTTTGTGGCTTTATGGACTGAATTATGTTCCATAGGGTTCCAATGTCAATGCCATAAATTGATATGAAACATTTTTCATATGACAAGTATTTGTTGAGCTGGTACACGGTAATAGACACTGTACTAAGGATTAGATACCCAAATGGAGACTCTCCTGTTTACAATGTGGTATGGAAGCTTAGACTTTGTAAGGGGAAGGCTCCAGACCTTTCATTTTCTTTTATTCATGCTTTTGAGTAGCAGACAAAAAAACTGCCTCTCAGATGAACCTCCCAGGTTTGGATTTTGGCCCTACCATTTGAACACTTTTGGCCATTCTGTGCCTCAGTTTCCTCCTCTGCAAAATGAGAAGAATCTCAAGATTGAAAAGAATTGGTATATGTAAAGCATTCAACGAGTGCTTGGCATAAATGAAAAAAGCACTATTGTATGTTTGCTCTAATTATTGGTGGCAAATTTGTGTTATCATCAGCTGAACCCTTTGGGTTTTTTTTGTTGTTGTTTTTGTTTTTGTTTTTCTGCCCTTCCTCATTTTTCACTCCTTACTGGTGCCTAGGAAGTCACATGGGGACACAGAGGTTGAGATGAGGAAGCAAGGTAGTTTGAACATGCTCTCTAATGACCCTGTGGTACCTGATACTTCTCTTCTGGCTCCTGCTTGTTCCTGATGTGGCCTATCTGTGTGCTGCAATCTTGGGAGTCTCGTGGTATTGTTTTTTTTAAAGTTTCTTTCTCTGATACAAGTGAGGGATAGAAAGAGAGAAAGGGACAAACAGAAAGACAAGCACCCTGTTCATTCTCACATGAGAGACCCCTTCTCCCCATAGCTGTCCCAGCCAGCAGGATCATGGCGTGTGCAGGCCGACTCGGGGACCGAGCTATGCCCTTCCCTGGGGATCGAACACCACTTCAGCAGCACGTGACTGCCACACCACTGACCCAGCCCTTGTTCTCTTTTCACCTCCTGTTAGATTTTCCTGAAAACCAGATCCATAGCATTTCTGCGGAAATCTTTATGCTGGTCTGGATCTTGCTAAAAATATTCTGCCAATAAAAAGATGCCACATTTAAACAAACAAAGAAATGAATACCTTATAAATACTTATAAATTCATCAATAGCAAGAACATCAATATTTATCATATGTATATTGAATCCATAGGTGCAGTTGCAGTATTCACCAAAGTACTGTGTTTTGTTTGTTCATTTGTCTTTTAGGTTTGTTTTGTTGTTGTTGTTTTATATTTATTTATTTATTTATTCATTTTTGCCTTTTATGTTTGTTTTGTTGTTGTTTTATATTTATTTATTTATTCATTTTTGCCCTAGGGTGTGTGCATTCATTGCAGAAAGATGGAGAGAGACAGAGAGGGAAAGTGAGAAATCACTCCCACGAGGGAATGGCCATGCCACATCTCGTCTCCATCCTCCTCCTTGGATTTTGGACACATATGCACTCTGTGTGATTTTCAAGCCACCAAGTCTGGGACTTGAACTGTGGGTTGGCCATATGGGAATCTGGTGCCTTAACCACCATGCCACCTGCTAGTTCCTGGTACTGTGTGTGTGGTTTTTTTTTTTTTTTTTTCTTTCTCTGTCTTACTCTCCTTAAAAAAACATTTTGGAATACATGTTATGTATCAAGAACTGTTTCAGATTCTAAAGAGAATTATCCTATTCCCAAGTCTTTATTTTATAGTGCAGAATATTTATAATAAATTGATGGAGGTAGAGGAGAAGTCTAGATGGTATATTTTTTCAAAATGTTTCTCTATGCCTTTCCCAATATATCATATGGGGTAAGAAATTATTTTCTTCATTGGGCCTTTAAGAACTATAAGTTTCAATATATACATTTTTTGGAGAGATTTTTGTTATAGAGTGCATGTACTCACTGGAGAGACAGAGAGACAGAAAGCAAGAAATCGTCCCCCCAGGAGGGATGGCCATGCAGCAATCTCTTCTCCTCCAGTCTCCTCTCAGGATTTTGGGCACGCACAAACACATGCCTGGTATGTTTTAAACCACTGGGTCTGGGACTCGAACCACAGTTGACTACGTGAGAGCCCAGCAATATAACCACTACACCAACTGTGCATATATAGTATAAACCTATTTTTTATTAGAGGGCATGTGCCTTGTCAGAGAGATGAAAAGACAGAAAGAAAGAGTGAGGAAGCAGTCCTCTGTGGGGTGTGATTATGCTACAATCCCTTCTCCTCTATTTCTCTGCCCTCTTAGGATTTTAGGCATACACACACACATCTGACATGCTTTTCAAACTGTAGGGCTGGAATTCAAACTGTGGTTGGCCATGTGGAATTTGGCTCTCTTAATCACTAGGTTATCAGGCTAGACTATATACATTTTTTAAAAAGAATTATTTAATTTAACTTTATTTATTTATCTATTTATTTACTTATTTTAATTTGACCAGACAGGGACAGAGAGAGTGAAAGTGAGAAGACAGAGAGAAAGAGAGAAGGCAAACCACCAGGTCTGGGACTTGAACCATGGTCAGCCATGTGGGAGTCCTGCCCCTTAACCACCATGCCACCTGCTGGCCCCTATACATTTTTAAAAAAGAAGTATTTTATTTAATGTTATTCATCATCATCATTATTATTATTTTTTAAATTTGACCACTGAAAGACAGAGAGAAAGAGAAAGTGAGAAAGCAAGCCGCCAGATCCGGGGGCTTGAACTATGGTCGGTCTCATGGGAATCCAGTGCCCCAACCACCTTGGCACCTGCTGGCCCCCAGAATGTATAAATTTTAAGAAAAAACTTTTGCAATTCCACATTATAACTCTAATATCAATGCCATCAATTGTCTCCTTAAATCAATGGCACTCCAAATACACTAAAAAAGTTTAGCTTGGCCTTATATACATACACATACACACACACACTCTTACATCTGACAATTTGATTATCTATAACACTGTTCTTTTATCTATATCCTCATGGTCTTTTTCTCGCTTCGATCTGCCTGGACCTCCCATCATTGAATTTTTCAGAAGGGAGAAAGAACAGATCTTCCAAGGCAAACTAAGGAGTTGAGACTTTGTCCAAAAACGGATCAGACTTATTTTAGAAAAACAAGTTAAATATTTTTTCCCATTTGGAAAGCTGCAGGTTTTGTAGTTCTGTTTTTTTAATTAACAGTTGTAGTGTTTTTTTGTTTTTTTTTTCTCTTTCTTTCTTTCTTTCTTGGTTTGTTTTCTTTGTTGCTTTTTGATTAATGTCAGGTTGTGCTGTGTGTCAGAATTCTGACGAATCACAGATGGTTCTGACAAAAAACAAACAACTGTAATTTCTAATCACTCTATCCAATGAAGACAATGTTTATTTTTTCATCTTCATTTAAACAATCCTCCTCACTGCCTTAATTAGCTTCTTTGTGCCATTTCACTTAGCAGGAGTCTTGGTTAGTGCTCCAAAATGGTTTATAACTACCTGTTAAGCAGTAGCCAAACTTCAGGCAACTGTTTTGAATTTGTCATGGGTGTTTGGTCCAAGGGGTGACTATTATGTGGAGCAGAGGATAAAGGGTAGGAGAGGGAGGAGTGAGGAAAACCTAATAAAAAAAGGCTGAAAAATCTATGGTCAAGGTGTGTGTGTGTGTGTGTGTGTGTGTGTGTGAGAGAGAGAGAGAGAGAGAGAGAGAGCGCACGCCTGTGCATACACATGTGTGTATTTATGATTCCAGTTGTTTGACTCATTTCCCTCCACAACTGAAGACAGTGTTGACTGTGTGGAATCAGCTACCCATGAAGGAATTTAAATGAACATGCCCAAGAGTTGGCTTGGCAAGTTTTAAGAGCAAAGTTGTCTAGTGTTATAACATATGCCTCATTTCTACTAGGGAGTGGGAGTCAGTCGTATGGTTTTCATTTTTAGATGAGGAAACCAGATCTCAGAAAGGTCAGGCTGTTCTTCTAATCAATATATTACATTATGTTATATTTATTATATTGTTTTAGGCTGTTGGTAAAGTTATGACGTATTTTCCCATGTTTCTCTATGCAAAGATGAATCATGACTTTCCCAATAATCCAATATTATGCACCTGAGATTTTCTGAGCCTTATTGATAACATCAGTCTGTAGACTTTTAAAAGTCTACTTTTAAAAACCTTGTAGCATAGGGGCCAGCAGGTGGCATAGTGGTTAAGGCATTGAACTTCCACATGGCTGACGGCAGATCAAGTCCTGAACTAAGCAGTTGAAACATGCCCAAGAGGAAAATGGAGAAGGAATTGCGACATGGCCATTCTCCCTAGGGGGTGATTTCTCACTTTCTCTGCCCTATAGCAAAAATCTCTTTAAAAAAATCCTTGAAACTTAGTGGGAAGATACCTGGTGAAGTAACTGTTCCCATTAGCTGGCTTGCTTATGATTTTAACAGCATTTACTGAACATACACTATAAGTAAATAAATGAAAACCAGCTCCTTCTTCTGGAAAGGTTACAATCTAGTAGGTACAGAAAAATGAACCTTATCCACCTTGTGCTTCTTGCCACTTACAGCCCTCCTTTTGCCTTTCTCTTAATGGGGCATCATTGTCTTTTGTCCTTTCTGTTCTAGTCCATTGGCCAAGTCTGGGGCACTCAAACTCTCCTGCATTGCCAGACCCCCCTCCTAAGAG